TTTTTGTACAAATTAAGCTTTTATAACTATATAATTGCTTATATAAATTAATCAATAAAGATATAAGCAAGACCTCACCTTAATACCAAAAAAAAAAAAAAAAAAAAAAAGTTTTATAAATAAATATATTTGCAATTGTATATTAATTGTCTAGCTTATTTATAAAAACTTTTTTCATAAATACAACTATGTAATTATTAGCCAATTAAATCTATTATTTCTAGACTACTAAAACTATATTTATTATATAATAATAGTAATATTATAATTTTATTAATGTTTTCTAATTGCAACTTTTCTTAAATATATACCTTAAAGCTGATTTTAATAACATGCATTTAGAAAGATCTATGATTATATATATATTATTACCAGTATTGTAGTTATATGCCTAAATATATATATAGAAGTTAATAAAAAAGAAACAAATTGTTTTTAATAAATTTTTTTTAATTTTTAAATTAATTTGCTAAAAATTTTTTATTTTAATTTTGAAATTATAAAAATAAAATAAAAAAAATTATTAAATTTGATAAAATAATTGCTAAGATATTAAGCTTAAAGTTAAAAAAATTTTATTTAGAAAAATTTGTCCTTTTTTTTTAACTTTTATATATATATATTGTACTTTATATAATTCTATATAAAAGTTATTGTATTTATATTTTAAATTCAAAACTAGATTAATTTTGATAACCAACTACCAAAATTAAAAAATTATTTTTGTAACTTAAATCAAAAACCAAAAAAAGGGTTGATTTAATAAAAATTTAAATACAGTCAGACCCCCCTAAGTGCACGGTATATGAAAAACTCCTCTAATATGCACGCCTCTGCTTGGTCCCAACTCATATAACAATTATAAAATTTAATCTCCCTAAGTGCACACCTCCTCTAAGTGCACATTTTGCATTTCTTTCACTATGGTCCCGAGGGGTGTGCACTTAGGGGGGTGCGACTGTATAATTTTAAAAAAAGTACTAAATCATACTGTTTTCACCACGTAAGAAACGTGATAATCGTCCAATCAAATTTCTTTAACGTTAACGTTTAAATTTTTACAAAATCAATTCTATTTAGCCCGTGAGCTTGTACCGCCTAGAAACAATTCTCGAATAAAAGCAACTCCCCGATTTTGGAACCATTCGTTATATGAATCCATAAATAACTTTATTAATACAAATAAAAGCAACACTTCCTTTTCGACATCTAAAAACTAATTTTTATGATAGTTGCCTTTATTCGGTAACATGGTACCTGTTATAATGAAAGTTCGTTTCAAAATTATATAATCTTTAATCCGTGTTTTTCGAATTCTCTGGATAATATCAATATGGTGAGCTATAAACTTTTAGTTTAGTAGGAAAATGAGATCTCGCAAAATTTCAATTTTACACAACGAACTTTTTTCATATCGGCTTATTGTAGAGATATATATATCATAAATATCACAATTCAATAATTCAGTTAAAATCTACAGAGTAGAATACTAACGTTTGCAAAAAACGGTAGAGGATTTGTTTAATGAGTAATGTTGACAATTGCTAATACATTAAATACATTGTACAATAAAAGTTGCCCTTCCAGAAATAAAAAAAAAAAAAAAAAGATTATGAAATGTATTCAATGAATGTTTATAAGCTACTAATAACTATAATAACTATCAGATAATAATCCCCTCTAAAACTTTTTTCGAGAAATGATTCAAAATAATTATTTAGTCTTCGATTTTGCTTTCTTCGGAGAGGGCTCTGTCGCGTTCGATTTTTCACCCCTTTTTTTAGGAAGCAATTCCGAATGAATATTTGGAAGTACACCACCCTCAGTAATATGGACATGTCTCAACAAGATGCTTAATTCTTCATCATTTCGTACAGCCAACTGCAAATGTCTTGGAATAATTCTTTGTTTCTTGTTGTCACGTGCGGCGTTACCAGCAAGTTCAAGAACTTCAGCGGTCAAATATTCAACAACAGCAGCTAAATAAACTGGAGCACCTGCTCCTACACGTTCGGCATAACGACCTTTCTTTAGAAGACGACCCATACGACTAACCGGAAAAGTGAGTCCAGCTTTAACGCTTTTGGTGACTTTTGAAGAGCTCTTGGCTCCAACTTTGGCGACGCGTTTAGCTTTCTTGCCACCGGTTTCTTCTGAACCAGATTTAGCGGGAGCGTTTTCGTTTCCTACGCGAGATCTTCCAGCAGAATCAACGGTAGACATAATGAAAAGTATTTTTTTAAAAAGTAATAATAATTTTAACGGGTAAGAAGAAAAATGGAAATAAAATTTTGTTTGTCCTAATTTTTCTGGGTGTGATTAAATAGATAAGATGGTTACACTAAAATTCGACAACTACGCGTTTTTTTGTTTACACGATCTATTTAAAATGAAGTTTTTATAGCGTGCCAAATGTTTTGATTGGTCAAATTTTCATGCGTGGAGCTATGTCCGTATGTCTTGCTTAACTACCTCAGCAGACTGTGAAAGATCGACAAAATTTTGTTGCTAGATTAGGTGTAATGTAGATTCACGTGCTTTGAAAATCGCGTCTCTAATAAAGTTCTTAACCCTAACTTTAATATAACATTTATTACCGTTAATTTAAAATTTGATTGGTATTGATTGGTTTATAAGACTGGTTAGTCATATTTTGTTAATTTTTCATGATGAATCCGAGAGCCATGGTATTGTGTTTAGAATTAAAAAAAGTATAATTAAAGTATTTTTTTTTAGTAAACCTTTGCTTATACCTAATTACTCGGAATATAATTAAACTATTTTCTGTAATAAATCTTTCTATAATTATTTTAAAAATAACCTTTTTTTTATATATTGCTTTTAGTACGTATTAAAGATAAAAAATAAATAATACTATAATTATTTATAGTAAAAATATAAAATAAATTTATTTTTATATTTTTTTTTATTTAATTATATATTACAAAAAATAGTAATTATACAATTTTAAATATTTTAGTTTAAAGTATAAAAAAGAATTTTAAAATTTTATATTAGATTAGTATTTTAAACTAAAAATTAGCAGTTATTTTTTTGTAAAATATAAAAAATAGATTTTAAATTATCGCTGTTTTCGAAATGGTTAAAAATAGCAAAATTTACAAAAAAAATTTTTTTTATATGAAAACCTAAAAACCTGATTAGTTTAGAATATTAAACCATTATGCAAGTACATAATCGATTATTAATTATTGTTCTAAACTAATTGTGTTTTTGGGTTTTCATATAAAAATTTTTTTTTGTAAATCTTGCTATTTTCAACCATTTCGAAAACAATAATAAAAAGATTTTTTAAAATTATAAATATATTTATTTTAAAATTTTTAAATTTTCTTCTTGCAGTACTAAACTAGAAGTGTAAATGATCATCAGTAGTATATCTATAAGAAAAATATAGGAAGTCTTTAGCACTTATGCTACAGACAATACCAACTTTGGTAGCACTATATAAAGCAGATAGTATACTATAAAATAGCAACCAGAAGATTGATAAATCTGTCTATACTTAATATAAAAGGTTGTGGCTTAAAATACAAATTATGTTATAGCAGCAACTCAAAAGTTAGCTTGAGATACAAACACAATAGTGACAGCAAACAGATAGTATTGATAAGGATATGTATACTAATTTGGAAGCAACAAAAGCAAAAAACCATTAGAATAAACCAAACTAAAAGATAAAAGAAGGTTGCTACAGAAAGTAAATAGAGAGACAAAATACTATAACAATACAAAAAAACTATATATAGGAAAAAGATAGATTATACATTAGCTAGAAGTTGATTGATGAGGTAATAGCTATTGATTAAATTTTAAAAATAGCAAAAATATGACTAAATTGCTTAGAGTAGGTATTATTAAATAGTCTAGTATAGCATAACTTAATTACTGTAATATACAATATATAATAAGTTCTTAAGTTCTTGATTAATAAAAAATTAGTGTATAAGCAATTTATCAAAAAAAAAAAAAAAAATCTTTAAATTTAATTATATTATATTATAATAAAAAAACTACTAGAATTTTTTAGCTTTCTAGTATATATATAACATTAAAATTTTCTTTATAAAATTAAAATATCAAGATTATATATTATACTTTGTATAAAAAAATTAATTAATAGATTTGGTAAATATAATTACCAGTAAATTACAATAAAAAATAAAGAAATAAATATTAAATTTAATAGAAATAAAATCAAAATTTATTTTACAGACATAGATAATCTAAAATTAATTTTAAAAATAATAAAATTTTACTATATTAAAAGATCAATTTATTATAAAATAATATATAGTTTTTGGAAAATTATAATTGGCAACCTGTCACTATAGTAACTTTCTATGATTAACTAATCATATTAAAGATTGATTAATTATATAAAAATGTACTGTTTTACTAAGTTAGCTTTTTGATTTTTGATCTAAATTAGATTTGTTTTTTTCAGTAATTTATTTTTTTATAGCTATATACAGTATATTCATATATATATTTTTTAAAGCTTTTTTTTTAGCATAGATCTGGCTTTAGCATTCTTTGGTAAAATATCTTGTGGTATTTTTTTTGTTCTTTAGCATTTTGCTAATACTGATCCTTTGGTATTTTGCAGATAAATTGCTTTATAGTATTTTAGTTCTTTTGCATTTTTTAGTAAGTTAGTTTGTAGTATTTCTTCTTGTTCTTGGTATTTGCTAGTGAATTATCTTGTTTTGTTCTTTGATTTTTTGCTAGTGAATTGTTTTTGGTACTTCTTTAAATAGTTTTATACTATCTTTTTTTTTTTTTTTTTAGAATTTTTCTCTAGTGGTATTTTTTCTAATTCTTTAACATTTTACTAGTGAATTGTCTTGTGTTCTTTGTTCTTTAGCATTTTGCTAGTAAATTGTCTTTAGTAATTCTTTGGATAGTTTTATACTATCCATTTTTTTTCTTTTTTTAAAATTACTCTTTGGTAATATTTTTTTCTGGTTTTTCATTATTTTATTGATAAATTATCTTGTAGTATTTCTTTTATTTTCAGTGTTTTGTTAGTGAATTGTCTTTAGTACTTCTTCTAGTTCTTTGTTATTCTTTGGTAAATTGTCTATCTCTTAAATTGTAACACAAACAAATTTGTCTGTGTTTTTATTAAAAAGTTTAATTTTTTTAATAAAACCTTATATATTGATTTTAGCTATATATTTTCTAAATAAAATATTTAATTTTAAATTTGTTTTGTTAACTTTATTAAGAAAATTTTTTAAAATTATTAAAAAAACTTTCGTATAATAAAAGTTTAAAGTTCTTGTATTAAAATTTTTACAATATAATTTTTTCTTTAAACTTTCTTAAATTTTATATGTTTTTCGCCTATAAAAAAATCTTTGGTTCTAAATAAAGTTTTAATTTTTATTAGTAAATCACTAAAGGTATAATAATGAAAATTGTAATCCTTTGTATAAACTATAATATTGTTTTAAGAACTATATGTTTAAAATTAATATTTAAAGAGTTTGTCAAGAATTTGTAAATAATTTTTTTAATTAAAAAATTTTTCTAAACTTGTCTATTTTTAGCTTATAAGCAACCTAAACTTTTTTTCTTATATTATAAAAACTAATTTTGCAAAAAAGTAATCCTTATTTTTAAATATAATTGTGCAAAGTTTTATTTAAATATTTTAGCATTTTAAAAAAGTAAATTAGAGCTAAAATAGTGCAAAACTGCAGGTAAATTTGTCTGTGTTAGTTTACATATTAAGGGATAGATTAAAAAATTAAATTTATATACAAAAAGCTTTTTATTACAAATATATATATATATACAAATATATATATAGTAATTCAAAGTTATAAAAATTAATTATTTAGATTTTGCTATTTTTATTTAACTTTTTGTAAACTATATTTTTTGTACTTTATATTATATTTTTAATATATATTTTATTACATATTATTATTCTAATATATAATACTGTAGTGCACTGACCAAATCCTCTTAATAACCTTTTTTCTCTTACCTCTATACAAGAAATCTCTACTACAAATACCTCTAGTACTAGTATAAAAATTGACTAATCTATTATTTTTCAAGAGCTTGCTACTATTAACAAATCCTTTATTAATAAAAATACTATCAAATCTTTAAATCCTAATATAACCAAATCTTTTAATAATACTAACTGTTGCAGTATTTGTTAATATACCAAGTAATCATTGGATAGAAGTACTCATATAACTAGTAATCAGATGCATATTGATCAGTGATCTAATTAGTGCATAATATATCAGGTGATCATGATTAATTAAAAATCTAAAATAGTGATTGCATAAATATTGTAGTAATCATTAGCGATTAGTATCAATATATAAAGTATCAATCCAAATAGGGGAAATGCCTAGCTTCGATTCTTAGTAAACAAACTGTGTTATCTGTGTGAATACATTATCAGTAAAATATCTGTATGATACTCTAGTTATCATAAATAAAAACCAAGAGAATAAAAACCAATAGAAAAGTTAAATAATATATGTAGTGTTGATAAACTACATGATACAAAGAATCTGGGTAAGACAAAGGTCTTGCTCACTAAAATATACTGTATTTGCACTAAGCAGATGGATAAAAGCCATGTTTTCTAAAAGTCATTATGAATTAAGTGCTCTGGAAACAACTGTAATGTTCAAAGCTCGCGATAAAATATTATGAAGAAAAATATCAGATATTGTTAGTAAAAGTTGTATTGAATAAAGACATTGAAAGAAATATTTAACTTATATAAAAACTATAAAAGCTACTGATCTTCAAGTACTATATTATTATGAAGAAAGTGTGAATAATTTTTTGTTTAATTTTGAAGCCTATGCTGCATCCAAGGGATGAAACAATTTTTGTATAAAGTTAATTGTAAGCTAACATGTTGCTGAATAATTAAGGCTATAGGTTAGAGATATAATAAGTATGACTAAAAGTTAGAACAAATTAAAGTTCAACATGAAAAGAGAAGCAAAAATGTTATACAATGGTGATATAAAATTAATCAAGTTGATGAGTATAAAACAAGGTGAAGACGAATCAATTGTATATTATACAAATAGATTTGAAGCTCAAGCATTAATGGCAAAAGGATATGTTCATTGAGAAGCAGAAATAAAAAGGTAAAATACAAAAGGCCTAAACAAAATGTATTGTAAAGAGGAGAATCACAATTGTTCTAAAATATA